CGACTGCTGTTCATCAGCAGTTCGGGTATGTTCAGTGCGGAGTTTTAGGTTTTAAAAATGTTAATGACCTCTCGCCCTTCATTCTAAAGTCAAATTAAACGAAGAAAACCATCTCCTTTTCCTCCGGAAGAGGTTTTTTGTCAGCGTAACCATTTTTAAAAAGCGTTCTTCTGAAATTTATCCCAAAACTTGCTAGTTTCACTTTGATTTTTTAAAACTCAAGTAGGGTAACTCTGTTCGCAAAGAGTGCGCTTTTGTGAAGAGGGCGCCACCAAATTTTGAGGACACTTTTTTAATTGGCTCAAAGAGAGAAGTGGCCCATCTTGTCTTGTACTATCTTTGCTTTAATTCACCCCCCTCCCAAAAATAATTAAAAAATAATCGGTGCAAATAGTACGCACCATGCCACGGGTAACTCCGTTATATCGTCAAATGCCGGGCAAAATATGCGCCCTTAAATTAATTAGGGCCTGTGTTGTCCGCCAATATAATTATGATGCTGACCAACGCATCCACCAGAAAACAACAATAATATTTGTCAAGCAAAACAGATGAGTTATTAGAAGAATTAATCAATTAAGAAGACTTAATTGTGGCTTCTGTTGTAGTAGATGAGGCCGATTTTGGTAAAGGAAAGTTTGCCACATTAAAAAAAACTGTAAATGTTTCACAGCGCTCGTAACAGCATATTGTCATATGAGTGCACGATTTATAAACATTTTTAGTTTTGTGGGAATTAATAGTGAATTTTGCCCGGGTGGCAGCCAAAGCCTACGTTATCGATTTTGGACCACATCTTTACGGAACCTCCAAGAATGTTCGCCCTTGTCTGATATGGTTGTAATTAAGATCTTACTAGAGGGCTGCCCTAAGATCAGGGCGGGTGTGGCTGAAAGACAGCAGTAAGAAAGAAGAGTAGCAGAGTCTGCAGAAAGAGAGCAGCCTAGGAGAGCCCAGATGAGGGGGCAATAAAAGGGGGGGGGGGGGGGGGGGAGGAGGACAGTTCTATCTATATATATATATATATATATATATATATATATATATATCTATATATAAATATATATATAAATATTTATTTATATATATATATATAAAAAGCGCCCCCTTTTCGAGGGTTCTGAAACTAGACTAGCCCAGTTTCATCCAGATGGGAATGATTGAGTAGGCCTATCAAGCTAGAAACAGTGAAATATATTGTCAGTTTGTTTAGTATGATTTGCGCATACAATCCGCAGCTTTCAGTTATTTTAAAAGCGCTTACTCTAAAGTATCGAATAATTGCCCCCCCCCCCCTCCCCCACGCGCTTATTAATTTTCAGATTTTTTGCACACCCTTCCGCTCCTTATCCCATATCCCCCGTTTATTGTTTTCCAGCTTGCCGCCACCGACGATCATGTGAAACATTATCTAGAATCTAGATATATCTGAATTAAACTTCTTTTTTTGTTCTTGTTATTAATGTTGTAAATGGCAAATTACCCTCAGCATTAGTATTAGATCTAGTATAGGTACTGGGTTGACTACATCAATTTTCTGTGCATTTTAAAAACTTTTGTATAGATCTTATTTTGTGTGGGTTTTTAAAATTTTTTAAAAAAATGAAATTGGTTTGTTCCTAAATATTTGAAAAGTTGTCATGTTTACTGTACTAAAATCACTAAAATTTCATATCTTCTCTTGTTCTTTTATTCAGGGAAGGAGAAATAAAGCAGATTTAATTGTTCCTACTAGTACAGGGGTATGAGGTTGAATGTGCCAGCGCACCCCCCCCTTTAATTTTGGACCACTTTTCCACCCTCATTACTGAAGGAATTTTAGTTAGCAACACAGAACAAGGGCGCGAAAAGTGGAGCGGCGTGGGGTTACAAAGACTTGTCGGGAGTAGCAAGCAACGCAAATATGGCGGCCACTTTGCTGAGAGAACAAATGGGGAGGCCTGGTTTGCTCAATCACAAATAGTGAGGATGTCCGTAGAGAATAGATAGAGGCCTGTTGTTATGTAGCAGTAATCGAGGCGTTACAGGGCTACTACTAAAATAAAAATTGCTAAAAACAAAACAAAAAACAACAACAACCAACGAACAAAGCTACCGGAACTCATGTAGTCAGCATTCGTCATTATGGATGCTTGGATCGCATAGTTTGTGTCAGTGTCGAGTAAGGGTACCGGGCGGGGATATACCTGGGAAGCGAAACACTGAAAAACAATACCGCGTCCAGTTCACAAAAGGGCAAAGCTATGGCCCAGAATGCAGCTAGCAGCGACAAATGTTTATGAAATTGCCAGTAGCGTTGAAAAAAGTCATCGTACTGACGTAGGCTTGACGGAAATCTACGGAAAATGCCTCGGAAGGCAAATTTGGGGTTATAATGGGGAAACCCAATGCCTTTATGCAATTGCCGTA